ATAGTAAAGCTCTTCGGCTCGCTACTCATTAGTCGCGCCGCGAAATAACCGAAGCTATTGGTGATTTCATTCATTATTGGCGACCAAGACAAGCCATTCACTACGCTACAATGATATGTGTCATGAACACAAAGCTAGACACGAGGCAAAGTCAGGAAAGTCAGGAAATTGTCGGAGGCCATCCACAACTCGAATCCCGCATGCACCCGATCCTTCGTCACGAGAAGCTGCGCAGCCCGCCTGCGCACTGCCATCAGGCACCAGGATTCACGAGGAAGATTCATATGTTCGCCTTATGTAACGCAAATCATGAGGCACAGATGAGACTTTGGCTGCGGCGTGGCGATCAACTTACAAATGACAACGTATCCAGATTGAGTGATTATGGCTGAAACTTGTAATAACTTGTAAGATCATGGTATATTCGGATAGCTCTAAACGGCAAACATGTGAACTTGATTTTCCGTGCGTCCGGGTATATCGATATATCAATTTTTAACGAATGAACTCGCTTCTATTACCCATTGCGATGAAGCCGGAAGGTATCTTTATTGACTTTGGAACTCCTGGTACTTTCTATCTCGGGCAAACGCAAAGAAGAGTATCCAACTACATGTAGCAAAGTATTTCAAAAGGATCAACACATCAAATATCTTTTTGTAGAAGCTGATTAGGGCTCTACTGCCAAGTTTCATGGTTGATAAGCCCTACGCGCAAATAATTCCCTTGCTTCGCATCTTAAAACGTTGTCTCATATCTCGAAGGATCGTATCTTCGCTATCCTTGTCCCAGTTCGGTAGGTGCTGACTCGCAGGCTTTCATACATATTCCTTCGAAACCCTAAATAGAGTTATTATTACTACATTGCCACGATTTTAGCAACTGGAGAAACCCCCCACAAGGTCGACGGGATGATGGGGGATGGGGGGTAAGCATTGAAGTCCCCCGTTCCGTCTGTTACTCACCCCACGCCGGAGTTACTGGCGCGTAACCCCCATGGTCATCTTAGTCAGTTTAAGATTATCTCACATAAGAGGGAGGTAACAGATATAGAAGTCCGGATGCCCGTATCATGATACCGAAGTCTCCGGGAACTTATGATCGAGATGTTTCTCGAACCAAAAGATCATTATCATGTTAAAAGGTACCTATGCATGTCGGACACCTCGGATTCTTGTCGAGATGAAGCATCTCCGGCAGTGTCGAATACTTGTGATTTGTATGGAAATATCGAGAAGCAGTGGAACGACGACGTCATCATAATTTCAATTTACATACGATTATTATCTTACGAGACACAAAAATATAGAATATAGGATTTATATTGTGAAAATTACCGGGGAGAAAAAATTATTTGCATCATAAGCCATCTACAGACCCGATGCAGCTCTCGTTAATATTCGCGGAGTAAGTAACAACTTTCGCTTCTTTATATAAAGCCGCCATGGCAACATGGTACTTCTCCATATCAATATATGTAATAATGTTAGCTCTCCCCGGATTTGTTTCAATAAGTCCCGAAGATGAAATGAAATTTATGGGACTTTTTCTCCAACACTAGATTGGGATTACGATACTTGCACTTATTACTCTGGGGTAAATGGAGTCTTGAAGTTCCTAAGTTGGAGTCGTAGGCGGGTACAAATCGAAATTGGAATATTATCAACTCCGGATCGACTCCGAAACTCATTTAGCAAACAATGATACGGAAACCATCAATCGGTAGGCTATATTTGCCGTAGAACGGCGTTTGACAGACAGATAATATCACCCCAAATCACCTTGTATTCGGTGCATACCCGGCATTACCTTTCGCATTTTGATCGTACACCAGATATTCAAGTTTAGGCTACGAGCAAGTGTCGATCAAGTCGCCAATCTGAACGCGATCTTCCACCCCGGGCTCTGTTCTTCACACCCTCGTCTGTCAGCGATCTACGCCAAGCATTAACGTAAACTAAGCGCGCCGAATCACGCCCTATCCCTTACTTATTAGAAGTGACAGTATTCCGTATTGACGGATTGGTCTTCATTGAACAGGTCTAGAATTCGCGACGATACATCGTAAGGGCAAGTCGCACAAGATACATTCCAGAATGGGCGATGGTGTGTATTTGAGGGTAAAGTAGGAGACGGTGCAACACCATCGTCGCTCTAGAATTCCATCACCGCGGAAATCGTTCACTTGTGAGTCTCGAAGCGAGGGCTCTTCGTTTGGGATTTCCAAGATCAGATGTGCTTCTGTGTGCGCTGCAACTCGGAGGAAAACCGCAAAGTCACCGTTGCAATCTTGCAACCCCCACAGCGCCCCGTTCAACGGCGTTGAAGCCCAATGTCATTAGAGAAGGGCCTCGACAGGGGGGCATTTGTGTTCGCTGTTCGTACATACTTAACCCCCTTGTTCCCCTGTTCCACGACGCACGGCCGCTGTCGCTGTTGTCGTGGGCGCATCGTAGACTTGCTTGACAGGTCCGTCGTAGGTTTAAGTGCATGCCTATATATCTACTTCATACCTAGGGCGAAAAGCTCCAGCTTTGAATGGCTAACCATCTAATTGCTCGCAAAGTGGCTGGCTGGCCTGCGTCGGATGGCGCTTCTGCTGCAGCTGGGCTTACTGGTATTATATCATCTCTCACGATTTACACCTGCATTCGGAACAAACGTGGCAGGCCGTCTGCAGCCACGATGGCTTCGAACGCCCGCGCTGATTTGCGCGAACGCAAGAAGCGGTTCGTAGTAGCAGTCGGCGCTATGCGAATGAATCACACTCTTCGGAACATGCTCGCTCGCTTGTCTCGCGCTCCGTGATGGTTAAGTACCTACCTAGGTGATGGGTACATATGTAGCTCCATGTAAGTAGCCATTAACGCCATTGACCAATTGGCGTCGCTACCTACCTGATAACGAGCAAATCGCGACCGGACCGAGTCCGGAGCAACCTCGAACGATTATCGATATCGATAGATATTGTGATAGATTAGAGGTGATCGAGTAATGGCAACACATTGCGCCGCTATCACATCTCGGAAGCTGGTGACAAGGCGTGCTCGTTCCAACGTTATGCTTATATTCTTACTATGTATAAACTCGGGGCCGACAACCGCGAGTAATGGGTTGGGATGGTGATCCCACTAGCTAGATAATCTTACCTACCTACGTAGATGGCTTCTTAACTCCGAGGTGTGATGTGATGTGATGAGTTTTGTTATCGCCGGCACATGACTGTTAGAACCACCCACACCCCATCGCGGACCGCTGAGCCGCGGAGAGTTTCTTGTGTGACTCCACTTGACGCCGAGCGTCTTTCCATATATGGCAACTAGGTGGACTAGTCAGCAACATTATTACAGCTTGTTATAGATATATTTATCTAGGATTGGCCGATTAGGGAAATCCCTAAAGGACTGCCGAGATTGTTAAGCTTAGATTGCGTGATGACGAGTTAAACTTAAGGGGAACGTTACGCGCTTAGATTTCAGAGCTTAAGAACATGTATTATAGCTTCCTCTATGCACATGCTGTCGGACAGCACGATATAGGAAGCTGGGTTTGAGCTTGGCCTCAGCCTTATGTCCTTTTGCGACCAATCAATAATGTCAGCTTCCATATTTCAGCCTTTAAGATGATGATATAACTCGACATATAAGTTGCGAACAGGCGAGTCGTGTATCTAGTTACGTCCATGACCAAAATCGTATATCTCAAAGTCATCACGCTATAGTACCTTACTTCTAAAGTTTTCAAATAGGCGATAATCCAATTTTCGAACCCTAACGTGAAAGGAAACTTGTGGTATATACTCCCTGAGCTAAACCATCCCCTGTTAAATATACCCAGGGGTTATCCCACCTGATCTTAAAGCTCGAGGTAACCGTACAGACTGATCCACCGCATATACCCAGTGAGATATCACATGGCTAGTATCTAATCTCAATTTCTGCATAATTGGTATAGTGCAGTGTTTAAGGAGTGGATAAACGGTACTACTTGAGTTGAATGTTGACGCGTGTAATCCTCAACCTGCTAATTGGGGTATTCACAATGAAATAATCGTGAAGAATTATTTTAGGCCTTTAGCAGACAACCAGCAGAAAGGATCAGATGCCCTGTACCAAACCACTGGTAACAAGTCAAGGGGACATTCCTTCTGGGCTGTGCGTGGCTCCAGGGATTGTCGCGTGCCTGTACCTAGTTTATCCTAATTGGACCCCTATCACGATAAGTTCTTCAACCGTATTTTTCAAGTTCCGAATGAGAATGGCAATGGAAATCTAGTTGCAGGCATAGTATGAATGACTAATGCCCTTGCCGCGAGCTTGCTATGTCAATAATCCACCGGCGATACAGGAGCAGATGTGTTAATAGTCGAAGGAAACGCCTCCTATTTTGTTCGATTTCCTGGCGCTTTCTGAACTACGTAATATGGTAGTGTTCTTAGAATCGGCGGTTTGCTATCTCTTTCGACTCGCTTGCATGAAATATGATATAAGAGCATGACTTTGAGCATATATCGATACGGTAGGGATTCCATGGTTCTGCCACCACTAGATACGCCAAACGTGAATCCAGCCTCAGGGGTAAGGGGAGAGGAATATGTATATTTATACGTTTGCCTAATATCACTACGTATATTATTATATTTCCTCTACATGGCAACTATAGCTTCCATGAACAGGGATCCAGGCCAAGTTAATTGTAAAGAGCCAGTGTTCTTAAAAATATAGACAATTGCTTAGAACATGAGTATTCCGTTCAGGGAGAGATCAGAGCAGGAAGCAAGACACCGATTGGTTATGATTGACCAGCACAACATGTGTAAAAGAGCTTCGTGGGTCGAGTAGGTGATGAAATACTTTTGTGGCTCGGGGTTCCTGGCCCGTCATTTTCTCTTCGTCAAGTAACAGCTGACCATCTTGACTTGAAACATCATTCAGGTCTCGCTATTCTTCACTTCCAAGCTCTCATATTTCTCTATGCAAAGAAAGTTTATTGAACATCCGACCCGATTCTTACAACCTGGATTCCAGCTCCCCGAAGCCACAGCGAATGTACGTTTTAATACAAAAAGTGTTGCGACAACCTGTTAAACATGCGTCCTATCGTCTAACCCGGGGCCCCCCTCACGCGCATTCTTAAGCACACTCAATAACCCATGGCAATTCAGTACCTATCCTATCATGCCTCCTGCTCCTTATGACAGCCATAAAACTCCGAATTCATAGTATTCGCCGTATATCTCTACAAGCAGCACTGGTCTTCCGTATCAATATGCTCGTAAAATCACTAACCCCCTAATCTTCCTTCGGGGGCGGGGAGACAGGAGTGTTTGACAAGAACCCATGAAAATATCGCTATTTCCCATCACTGCTCCCTCCTTGGTTCGGCGTAGTAGATGGCTTGCGGGTTGACGAGTAGTAATACTGCCCATCCTGATTCTGTTCCTGGCCCTGGCCCTGAGAGCCCTGGTAGCCTTGGCCCAGGAGATGGACAGGTGGGGCGTAGTAAGACTCATCACGGGGCCATGGTGTAAGAAAAGCGCCGTCTCTAGACGCCTTAGCTGCGTCCGCTGCCGTCCAGACATAGGGGTAGGATGAAGAGTTGGACGTGGAAGATGGCTGGCTGGACTGTGTCCGGGTCTGCGGGTACTGAACGGGGGTCGACACGGCGGCGGTGAGCCGTGGACGGGATTGCTTCTTCGTGGCGTGAGGCATTGTGGCTGTTGGAGACTTTTTTTTTCTATTTTGCTTTTTGGTCTGCTCTAGTTCCAAGCCGCTGATATGGAGGCTCGGGGGAGGGAACGTAGGTAGAGGGGAGATGGCAACCGAGTGAACTGCTGGAGTATCCCGAGGATTTTTATGTTGTAGATTGATTCTATCCAGAAATTTGGGATGTGAGGATTTCGAAAAGCTTTTATGCTCGTCGCTACTGGGAAAAAGGGAGGGAAGTGCATGGGATGTACGTCCAATACTCCAGATAGAGTTAACCTCTCTACGCAGGCAAGCACACGGCGGGGAGACACATGGTCCCTCCCGCCATGCTGTGGGATATGATTCACGGGAAGAAGACCCGGTAGGTTGGTTCCGCTCTACAGTACCCACGTCATGGACACGTTATAGAGGACTTGGTTACCTTTCCACGTCTGAAGTGACGTTCCATATATTTACTGAACTTACCAATAAATTAAACTGGTCTCAATAGACGTCTTCTTGTGGCTGGACAAAGTACTGGATCTTACTGGATCTTGCAGTAGACGTGCAGAGCCGTACTCCATCTCCTGAGTCAAGCGTACAGCTTAGGCGTCAGACGAGTCTCGCATAATAACTGACAGCACGAGTCCCGATACGGTCGACCTTGAACGAGGCCCGTGGGAGGGAGCCAAATTTAGAAAAGGGGGGGTGGTGAGGGACATAGGAGAGAGACAGGCACACGTAATTATTGAGTCGAGGTCTATGAACCGTATGACTGGATATCTCATCCGGAAGTGAGGTGGAAGGCTGACGACGGGCATCAAATGTCACACCAAAGAGAGACTTACAGATCCGGGGGTTCGGTCGTGACCAATCACGTAGGCTATGGAAAATTGCGGCTGCCCAGTTACCGAAGTTCAAGACACTTGCCGTGAACCGCTAGATTCAAGTAACCGGACGAATGCGTCCTGTCGGACGAGAAGGGATGTGGAGCCAAATACGTGAGGTCTATTTGATCGATCCTTGTTCGTTATCGAATTCGAATATTCTTGGTGTCATCACGCAGGAGATATTGCTTCATTACTTGAAATTCATCGGATTCCAGCGTCAAGTATCAGGGTACCCTAACCTCGTAGCTAAGCCAATAAGTTATCGGCTTCCGAAACATATCTGAACCGCATTGCCATTTGTCAATCCTCCTCTATGCGCCCTGAGGCAGCTTCTCGGGGCCAAACAGGACCAATGGATCTTGCACAAGGTAACCACGGAGGGTTGATACTTTGCAGTTCATCGAGACTGTTTTACGCGGCTTCCTTGCTCGTGTCTTTATCCTCCTTGGATTCCTTGACCTCTTCCTTGGCCTCCTCCTCGCCTTCCAATGCTGGCATGTCGTCATCATCAGAATCATCCTCATCATCCTCACCGGTTGGCATGTCAGCACCTCCGAGCTTGGAGAAGTCGATTCCGCTAAAGTCGCCACCTAATATTCATGTGTTAGCCTCGTTTCCTAAACATTGACCTCAAAATTTTTGTAATTGTAGCACTAGGTTGTGAGACGTGGTTACGTACCCATGCCTGGCATGCCTCCTGTTGAAATGAGTTAGTCATGTATTTCCCAAAGCTAGGAATTTCTTCACAGGGGGGCTTCTAGATGAAACTAGAGGTGCTGGGGAAGCTGCCTAAGGGCTAAGAATTCACATACCCATACCACCGAATTGCGAGAAGTCATCCTCAGGAGCCTCGTTCTGCTCGTCTTCGTCGACCCACTTGTCGAAGTCGGTCTTCACGAACTGGACCTTCTTGGAGTCTTTAAGAAGTCGCGGCCAGTATTCCTCGTTGAGCTCTTTCTTGCGCAGCTTCAGCTCGACATTGCGGGCGGTATGGTGGACCTTGCTCTCCGCGGGGTCGATCTCGGCGTAGAAGGTGAGATCTAAGTGGTAGGTCTTCTTGAGAGTGTCGGAGTGGCCGGTGAAGGTTAGGCCCGTAGGCTGGAGGTCAAGCTTCAGGTTCGACTTGGGAATATCGGGAACCGAAATAGTGAGGTAGATGAAGTTCTTCTCGGGGTCGGTGCTGGAAGAGCGCTGAGCCCATAGAACTATAGACGAACTTGTTAGCTTGGCTGTGCTTTAGAAGCTACTGATAGAATATCGATCACTGTATAGAAGCTAGGTATCCAGCTTTTTTTTCTGCCACTAGCTGAATACAGGGGTGCTAATTCACATAGAGGTAGTTGACGTAAACTTACCCTCGGGAGTAACTTGCGACATGTTGACGGTGATGTTGTATGAAGTCTGTTAATTTGCAAGAGTGGTAGATGACGTTGATTAAAGTGCGGAGCTACAAATTCAGGGTATGCGAGAGAGATATAAGTACGACTACAAACAATGTATTGTTTTCACTTGTTTGAATTGGTGGGAAAAGAATAGAAAGAAGCGGTGGAATGAAAAATCGCAAAATAATGAGGCTGTTCTAAAAGCTTAATGATGCACCCCTCCGACGAAGAAGCATCGAACCAGCACGAAAGCGGCGGAAGCAACAGGGCTGATTTTCCAAGGGGGGGCAGGTGCCTAGATCGATTGGAGGGGATTCACACTGTAAGAGTAGCCTAATTGGGCATAGACACACCTAAGGTAATGATGTACGTACCAATCCTATCCCACGCAATAAGACTGGAAGGTTTCAACTACCGCATACCTCAATAGAGCAATGATATCTAGGCGCTTAGAGAAATTTCAATGTTCCCATTGACAGCTCATGAACCTATCATTATTTGATGATAAAGAACAACAACGTTTCATGGAAGAATCAGAAGAGAGAGAAAAAAAAGCGGGCACCCCGTGGGCGCCACAATAACCCGAGTTTAGGAGAGGTCTTAGGTCTTAGGTCTTAGGTCTTAAGTTTTAAAGTTGTAAAATTATTCCTTAATTTTTTAAACTTAAATATTTTTTTAAAAATTAAATAAAATTAAATAAATTAAATAAAAATTATATATAAATAATTTAATTATTATTAATATTAAATATAAAACTTTATTACGTAATAATATTTTATTTTATTTTATTTTTTAAAATTTAAACTTTAATAATTAATTTTTTTAAAAGGTTAAAAATTTAAATTAAATTAAAAACATTATAAATTATAAAATATAAAGTTATAATAATTTAAAGTTAAATTTAAAATATTAAAATAAAATTTTATTAACTTTAATTTATATTAATTATATTTAATTTTAAATTTATTAAATTATTTTTATTTTTTTAAAATAAAATTAAAAACTTTTTAAAACGTTTTAAAAGTAAAATTTATAATATAAATATATATAAAGTTATATTATATATAAATATATATATAAATACTTTTTATAACTTTTATTTAATTTTATTTAATTTAAAATTTTATTAATTTTTAATTTTTTTATTTTAATTTAAAAGTAAATTAAATTAATTAATTAAAATTTTATTTTTAATTTTAAATAAAGTTTTTATATAATAATTAAAATAAAAATAATTAATTATTTTAATTAAAGGTTTTTTACGTTAAAATTTAATTTAAAATTATTATGTAAAATAATAAAATAATTAATAAAATAATTAATAAAATTTATATAAAGTAAAAATTTAAAAGATTTTTTTAAAAAATTAAATAAATAAATAAATAAATAAACATATAAATAAATAAATAAATAAATAAATAAATAAATAAATAAATAAATAAATAAATAAATAAATAAATAAATAAATAAATAAATAAATAAATAAATA